CCTACATCTATGAAGGGTAAACCAGCATTTCATTCATAGAGATTACTCTGGTTTACGAGATATTAGAAACTTAACATTTGGTTCCTATAACTGTCAACACTCTCCTATCTAGTTTTTCACCATAGTTTTCTCATATATCCTAAAATCTCTCATACAACCTCTTTCTCTCTCTCTAACCCCCTCTCTCCATACCGTGCCCTCTCTCTTCACATACCCCCTTTCCTCTCATGCCCTCTCTCTCTCCCCCCTTCCCTCATACACCCTTTGTCTCTCTCTCTCTCCATAATATATCTCTCTATCTCTCCCTTAAATTTTAGAGGCTATTTAAGTTGTTATATTTTGTGGCCCCTTCTAGGAATCGACTAATGCACATTTACCGTGGTTTTTTGTGGCTCTTTCTAGGATGCATTATTTGTCAATTTTTAAAGTTTATATTTCATAATTTATTTGTCCATTTTTAAAGTTTATGTTTTTGCAATTTGTGGCTCTTTCTGAGATGTTTTATTTGTCAATTTTTAAAGTTTATATTTCATACTTTGTTAGTCCATTTTTAAAGTTTATATTTCATACTTTGTTTGTCCATTTTTAAAGTTTATATTTCTGCAGTATTAAGCCTGGAAAACCTATCTTCATCATGAAAATAAAGATTGACGTAAATTTTTGGTTGGTCACTATAAAAATAAAGATTGACTTATTGACTGGGAATTGATTTATGCTTTATTGATTCATTTTTTAAGATTATATTTCATGCTTTATTGGTCCATTTTTTAAAGTTTATATTTTTGTAGTATTAAGCCTGGAAAATAAAGATCCTAAATTTTTTTCTTTATCTTTCTCCAAAAATCTCTCACTATCCTTTTTTCCTCTTTTGAGTTCCAAATTTATCTCTCTTAAATTTTGAAAAGGTACAACTCCTCTTGCATTTGAAAACATGCAATTCCTTAACCTCTCACTATCATTTTTTCCTCTTTTGAGTTCCAAATTTATCTCTCTTAAATTTTAAAAAGGTACAACTCCTCTTGCATTTGAAAACATGTTTCTCCTTAACCTCTCACTATCCTTTTTCCTCTTTTGAGTTCCAAATTTATCTCTCTTAAACTTTGAAAAGGTATAACTCATCTCTCATTTGAAAAAATGCAACTCCTCAAAACTCTCATACACCCTCCCATCTCTCTCCTAGTATCTTGCTCCTTAAAATCTCACTATCCATTTTTTCTCGTTTAAGTTCCAAATTTGTCTCCATTAAATTGTGAAAATGTGCAATTTCAAATTTGTCTCCCTTAAATTTTGAAAATGTGCAATTCCTAAAATCTCTTGTCTTTTTATTTGGGTAATTCAAAGGGGAAGACATCCCTTACCTGTTTTACTCTAAAATCACTTCTGTATATGTTTTGTTCCATATTTTTTTCTTCTACCATAAAATCTCTCATATAACTTCTTTCTCTCTCTCTCTCTCTACGTAGCCCCTTCTCTCTTATACCCTCTCTCTACCCTTTCCCTCACACACCCTCTCTCTCTGTAAAAGTTGTTAAAAAAGTTGTTAAATTTTGTGGCCCCTTCTAATAATTGGCTTATGCTTTATTTGTCTAATTTTGAAGTTTATATTTTATGCCTTATTTGTCTGTCCATGTTTAAAGTTTATATTTATACAGTATTAAGCCTAGAAAACCTGAAGTCACCATGAAAATAAAGAATACTTTAGTAGGTCATCATGAAAATAAATATTGATATAAATCCTTGATTATATCCGTAATATGTAGATTTCAAAAAAATTTCGTGGCACATTTGGCTGATACATTATTTGACCATAGATTGACATAAATCTTTTATGGCCCCTTGACTGGTGCATCATTTGTCAATTTTTAAAGTTTTTATTTTACGCTTTATTTTTCCATTTTGTAAGTTTATATTTCTGAAAATCTTGGTCATCATGAAAATAAAGATGTAAAACTATTTTTTATTTTTAGAAATGTGTTTGCTTTGTTTAGTTATGCATTCTTTGTTGGTCTTTTGTTCCTTTTACCTAAGTAATAAAAAATAAAATAAGGAGCAATATAATAGTAACATTTGAGAAATGGGGAATTTGATGAAGTGAGGACAGTAAAATTTTCATAATCAAGAGTCCCATATTTGTCTTTTCCTACATATTAGAGTATTTGTTTGAGCAAGAAAAGACGGTTTTTTATATTTCATGCTTTATTTGTCCATTTTTAAAACTTTTTTATATTTCATGCTTTATTTGTATATTTTTAAAGTTTATATCTCTGCAATATTAGCTTCGAAAACCTGTGGTCATCATGAAAATAAAGGTTGACATAAATCCCTCCTATATATTTTTTGCTCGGTATTTTGTTCATCTATCATAAAGTCTCCCGTACAACCACTTTTTCTCTCCCTGAACCCCTCTCCATAGCCCCACTCTTTCTCTCTCCACGTACCCCCTTCCATCTCATCCCCCCACCCCTCTCTCTACCCCCTTCCTCACCTGTGCTCTCTCTCCATAATATATCTCTATCTATTCTTTAAATTTTGGAAGTTCTATTAAAAGTTAAATTTTGTGGCCGCTTTTGGGAGTTTATTTGTTCATTTTTAAAATTTATATTTCATGGTTCATTTACCCATTTGTCCATTTTTAAAGTTTGTATTTCTGCAATATTAAGCCTAGAAAACCTATGGTCATTATAAAAACAAAGATTAAAACAAAAACAACCACTTTTTATGTTGAAAGGTAATATAAATACTATAGCATATTACTACAATGTGTTCCCATAAAAAAATATCAATGCAATTCTTATATTTAAATTATTGTCTGGTTTCTTTTTCAAAATTAATGTTACAAACAACTCCTATAGAATTCAACTTACCGTCTTTGACAATCAAGGAGAAGAACTCTATGGAATATCTGCAAGTGAAATATCCAACTTATATTTTGATGTAAACTTCAATAATTAGAACTATTTTGTATACTACAAAATATTTGTATGTGATACTAATATTTTATGAAATGTATATCAGGAAGCATCTAGCAAGATAGCCAAAGACATACTGAATAATTTGGAGAAGAAAAAATATGTTTTTGGAATAAAGGCATCCATCAATGAGTTTCATTCTTCTTTAAATTTGGTATTGCAGTCATTGCACGAACCAATAGAATGTACCGAAGACGAAAGTAAAGAAGCATAATTAGAATAGACTCTTTTTTTTTCATGGTTTTGTTTGATGGCAAGCTCATAATGATGCTGATGAAATTTTTTTTAATATTTTAATGACAATGATGACGGTGATGGCTATTAAAAAAAATGATTATTTTTTAAGTGAATCATATCATATGCGGCACACAAATAATATTACTTACTAGTAAATAACAAACATATTAATATGATTAGTAATAATTAGGTTATAAAATAATATAATTAAAATATAAAATTTATTATTTAATAGAAACCCGTTTGTGAAGATGGTTCCAACAAATTTTCTTTCTGTCTTTAACTGACTATGCCACTTTAAGATTGAAAATTTATTTGAATGACTAATATTTAGTACGCATGACTAATGGGCAAAAAGAATTTGCTTGCCCCGCCCATTGCCTCTCCGTTCAAACCATTGACTTTGTCTCCAACCCCCGGGAGAGAGAATCATCCAACATGGGTCTTTGGAATATGTACAGAAAAGAAAAAAGGGAAGGGGAAGGAAAAAGCACATACCACTCATTCCCTATTGAATAAGACATGCGGAAACGGAGGGTGCACAAGCACCATATTTCATGAGACCGTATCTAATGTCGAAAATTGATCTCATACTTTAATTTTTTTTATTTAAATAAGATATTGATTTAAATTTTATAGTGTAGGCCTATTTTTATAAATACAAATAAATAAAAATACTTAAAAACTATTTTACATAGAAAAACAACCAAAATGCAATGTTTTTATTCAAAATATTATTATTGTTGTTGTTGTGCCACCAACACAATACGGACTCATATATATCTATGTGTGTACATCTATTTCAATTCGGTCCAGATCGGCTCGACTTGGACTTGGACCTGGACTTAGATCGGACCCAGATTCGACTTGAGTCTAGGGTTTTGGATTCAGACTTCACCCATGGTCCAAAACCTGAACTTAGACCCGGTCGAGGACTTGATTGCCACCCCTAGCTCCACGATTCTCAAAAATGAGAATTGCAAATTGTGGAACCTAATATTTCACTATCTCAATCACTTTTAGAAAAACCGAGCGATCTAACCGGTAACCACCCAGTTAGATCGGAATTGGCTAGGTTTTGGATGGCTTTGGTAATCGACCAGTATTAAATATAATAATTCTAAAGAGTATAAAAATTCTAAAAAATATGGAATTTTGTTTGTAATACATTTATTTAATATTTTTTACATTATGGTAAAGATTAAAAATTGTTTTGATCATTAATACTCACTTTTTTATTTTTCTATCTTTTCAAAAAAATTTAAAAATACCCATAAGCAAAAATCGATTATTTTAAAATCTATTTTTTTTCATTTATTTTCAATTTCATTTGAATGTATTTTGTTTTAATCAATTTTTATATGTTTTTCATATTTTAATAGATTTTTTTTAGGGAAAATTACTTAAATATCTGTTTTAATTTATGTTAGTATCAAAATACTAAATACTTTTCAAAATCCGAAATCAATTTTGGTTTTTGGAAAACCAAAAACAAATGGTTTAGACTTTTTTTAAAAAATGTTATCAAGTCTAAAAATGGATATATTAGTAATAATTAAAAATATTCGGTATTTTGATAATATCAGAAGCTAAAAGAGATATTTACGTAAAAAGAATTTTATATATATATTTTTTTATTTTTTTCAATATTTTTTACCACTCGGGACTTGTCCGGTTTTGACCCCGTTTACGCTCGCGGACCCTGTGTTCGGTTTGATCTTGTGAACACCGAGCGCAATTCTATTAGCAAACCAGAAATCGGTAAGGCGGTTTCGAACCTTCCAGATTCGGCGACCAAATATCTGTTGCCAAACGAACCCCAAAGACAAGCAAACGCTTCAATCATCCGCGGAAACTTTACCCACCGCGTCTTCCTCATTTTCAGAACCCCAAACGCTTCGAAACCTACTCTCTCTCTCTCTCTCTACCCCCAAGTGCTAGAAACCTTCACTCTCCGTTAAAGAGCAACTTCAAAGGCTGATCAAATCGGAGAAAAGACGAAACCCACCCACTAAAAACAAAGCGCGAATGTCAAAAACAGGCGACCATGGCGAAGATCGAGGGCGCCTCTACAACCCCTATCAAGATTTACAGGTACCCATCAAAAAGATTTATGAATTGCCAACCGCACCAGAGTTCCTCTTTCAAGAAGAAGCAGCAGTTCAGAGGAGATCATGGGGTGAAAACCTCACTTATTACACGGGTCTTGGCTACGCAACTGGAGCCATAGCAGGTGGATCCAAAGGCGTCATAGATGGCTTAAGGGCCAGAGAAGAAGGGGACACAATTAAGCTCAGAATCAACAGAATCTTGAATTCTTCAGGCCATTCAGGGAGGAGATTAAGCAATAAACTTGGGTCAATTGGGTTGATTTATGCTGGATTGGAGAGTGGGATTGTGGCATATAGAGATACAGATGATATTATTAATAGTGTATTAGCAGGGCTTGGTACTGGTGCTCTTTTTAAGTCAGCTTCGGGGCCTAGATCAGCTGCCGTTGCAGGGGCAATTGGTGGTTTAATGGCTGGAGCTGCAGTTTTTGGTAAACAAGCGACTAAACGCTATATCCCTATCTAAAATTTTCAGGATTTTTCCTGATTAGCCGTGATGAATTGTGGAATTGATTGAATTAAGAGGAGAGTATAGAGATTTTATTCATTTATTTTTTTCTTTTTATAATGAATAGATAGAGTAGAGATCTAATTTTTTTTCCTCATTCGTTTGTGTTTGGGTCTACAGGTTTTGTGAGAAATCTGTGCCTCATGAGAATTGGGTGTTGGTTATTGTTGGTTACTTGAAATCCCAACCCCCCGCCCCTACCCCTACCCTCACCCCCCCCCACACACACACACACACACACAAAGGAAATATGGAATAGGAAAAATGAGTCGGTATTTTTGAGTTTTTTCTTTAAAAGATTGGTGTTCAATGAAATTGACAGTTGATAATTGTTTGGACATGGCAGGACCTAATTCTTACAATGTAAATTGAATTTTCAGCCAGATACATTCCGTGGTTATTATTATGTTCATTTTTGCAGGATTTGAAATCAAATTTTAGGGGATATTTATGATCTTTATTGTACTGTTTTTTCATGCTTCATCATGCTCAACAATATATATGAGACTTTTGCATATACTTATCAGCACCATGATGCAAGCATATCTCTCTCTCTCTCTCTCTCTCTCTCTCTCTCTCTCTCTCTCTCTCTCACAGTTACTATCCTTTGCAACATCTTGTATGCATTTTGGACGTGCTTCCTGTATTTTCTCTCCAATATATCAGCAAACTGCTTCATGGAATTTTCTTTATCTTTTCTCTTTGCTTGGTACTGCAGATTGCTGAAATAATTCGGTTGTACTGTTTCTACTGTATTGGAATCAGGAAATGAATTGTCTATTACTTTATTCTTTTGTAGAGCACAATGGCACCAGAAATTGTGCCTGAAACATTGTGGTATATCAACCCAACATTTCGTGCCATATATTAGCTTAAATATTTGGAGATTGTTTGCAAGAATAATATATAACTTTCTATTGGATCTATTGTCTATATGACTGACTGCTGCATTTTGTCTTAACTTCTCAATTAGGGAGGGCATTGTAGTATTTCCTTCACTCCTGTGAATATTAAAGCATAATTTCCCTTTTATTTTATTCTCTGATGCTAAAACTTTGAAAAATCTTAGTTCAATATTCCAAAATGCTTGGGGATTATTTTCATAAATTGTGCAAGTGAAAGAGTGATCCAATGCTTATGGTCATAAATCCTGAGCATACCCACTTATAAGGAGTTTTTGTTTCAATCATGGTGTTGTTTGATTCAAGTCTAGGGTTTACATATCAAAATAAGGCTAGCTGCTTTTCTCTTTTCCCCCGAATATGCATAGGCAATGACAAGTCGTCCATTGGTCATTAAGACCAAGAGTTGACCTCCAGCTCTCAAATTACTACCACGTTTAGGTTTTGTGTTGTAACTTTTGCATCTCTTGTACCGTAATTGTTCCAATTATGGTGTTGTTTGATTCAAGTTTAGGGTTAAAATGTCAAAATTAGGCCCACTGCTTTTTTCTTTTGCCCCAATATGCATAGGAAATGCAAGGCATCCACTTGTTACCAAGAGATGACCTCCAGCTTTCAAATTACAACCACGTTTAGGGTTTGTGTTGTAACTTTGCATCTCTTGGAGTGTTTTAAATCGTAATCCCTAAATGTGTGACTCCATTTTTTTTTTCCTTTCCTGTTTTATATGTAACTGTAATTCTATTTATTCAAAAAATGTACACTTGGTTGGGCTGGGAGAAATCAAGACTACTGTTTTACAAAAAATGGTTACAAAATGCATCTAAAAAGGGTTGCAAAATATGTGTCTCCATGGAGAGGACACGTAGAAAATGGTTATGGAAATCTTAACAGGGACCAAAATTTTGACTATACATAGTTGAGGTGCAATTGGACGGGAGGGGAATGGGTGAAGTAGGGTGGACAGAGAGCAGAGCATGCGAGTGAATCAGTCTTAGTTTACCTTGCACCATGTGCGCCGAAAGGTTTCAGAAAGACCTTGGCACCAGTAGAAAAATTGCTTGAAGATATTGCCTAACCTCCAACGGCAGTGTGCTGATTTGCAGTCCCAAGAGATAACATCAAGAGAATCGCTCTGATGGATCAGTGTGTGCCCCCATTTTCAATTGATAAGGGAGAGAGCATGCAAAAGAGCGAGGGATTCTGCAAGCGTGGCATCTGCAGAGTCAACTGGACCTGAAAATGAGAGTACTGTGTCCCCATCACAGTTTTGAAACAGCCCACCGATGCCCACCGGACCAGGGTTAGCGCTAGTGCTCTTGTCCAAGTTTAATTTCATGACTCCGGCACTGAGGATCCTCCATAGGTAAGATCTGGAAATCCCAATATGGGATCGGCGAGGCATATGATGTGCTGCCACTGCGTTGGGACATTCATGGCCAAGAAGCTTTTCAACAGTTCAACAAGGGTCAAGAAAACAATAGCAGAAGAGATCTGCTGGATGATGGCCAGAATGAGGGTGAAACAGCTTTAAAAAATACGCCAATTTCTTTCCAATCAAATGTTTCCACTGAATTGGACCAAAGGATTGCCTGGTAGTAGCTGCAAGAACCGGCCAGTAGCTGGTAGATGCAAGGAATAGTAATGTTTGTAGAGGTCTTTGACCAAACAAGGTGTAACCCAGATCAGGCTGAAGAGTTTGAGAAAATGTGCCCAAATTAAGATAATATGTGGGGAGGGCAGGAATAAGTGGGGTTTGTTTTATCATCGGCCTCAAGACACCCCTAATAGCAAGTAGAATGCCTCATTTTTTGACCTTATCCACCGTGAGAGCCTTTTTCAAGAATGGGATTCAAGTGAAGGCTTACAACTTGGGCAGTTCTCTGGAAGCGAAGAGGTGAGGCTGTCACTGTGGGCAATGCACCAGGTAGCGTCTTAAAGAAAGATGAGATGCAAAGGATTCATTTGGGGATTGGGTTCAAACTTTAAACTACTTTGTCAGAGCCAATGAGGAAGAGGAAGAAGGATTTGAGTTGGGGCAGGAGGGAGAGCAACTAATATTCTTCTGACATTATTGAGATCTCACTTAAGAAGCAGTGTCCAAACCAGTCTATTGGCCACTCGAGTAGCATAGTCAGCAGCTGTAGCCACCCTGTTGGCAGCGATGCTGAGTAAGGCAGGGAAAGAAAATGCAAGTGCTTGCAGTCTAGAAAACTGAAATTGCGCTGCCTGATCACGAGCCAGACACCCAAGGCCCTTGAGGGTGCCAAGCTGTTGGGAAGGTAACCAGATCCATCAGTTCCACATTTACAAGCAATGAACACTCTCCACAGCCAGTCCTGGTTGGTGGCAAAGCGCCAGCACTATTTGCCAAGGAGAGCAGTATTGGTAATTTGTAATTTTCAGAACCCCTGTCTACCTGCTGGTTTGGAAAGGCAGACCTGGTCACATTTGGCCATATGGCATCTGTTGCTGGTAGAGCTACCATATGGCCAGATCGTATCCGTTGGTGGAAGAACTACCTATTCCATAGAAAGTTTCTCATAGGCATTCCAACTTTTGGGATGCCTTAGCAGGTATGTGGGAGAGGGACATCTAAAAGACCGGGTTGTACTTCATGAACTTCATCTTTTGCCAAAACTAGGTTGCTAGCAGGCTATATTGATCCAAGCCGACCGCCATGAACTTCATCTTTTGCATATTGGGCCCGCCATGCCTTAGCAGGTATGTGTCCAGGGAGAAGCCTTGTGGGGAGTCATTGATGAGAATGGGGACAAAGGTTCCCCTTGTCCCAGGCCGAGAAGCCCAGAAGAAGCCTTGTGGGAAGTCATTGATGAGAATGGAGAAGTAAGCATATGCATCCATCTATCCATTATTTGGTACCAAACCCTATGAAGTTCATGCCAGTGTTCAAGACTCCCAATCAATATGTTCGTATGCCTTTTTAGAGTCAAGCTAACAGATGAGGCCACCGGTTCTTGGGGAAGTGCATTTGTTGATACACTTGTTAGCAATAAGGGCGCCACCTGTGACTCAGCCACCGGTCTTGGTTTCCATTCCTACAAATGCTAATACCTTTCGAAAACTACTAACGGTTTCAAAATTTGCTAACCCACTTCTAATAGTTAACGTTCAGAAAAAAAAAAAACAAAAAAGGGGTGCCATCAAGGATGTGTTTTTGGAGATATGACTTGGTCCATTACTAGATAATTGGTTATGATTGCAGCCGCAACCAGGTGAGAACATCGGGACCTCGGGAATCCCAAAATTTACTGAATAGTATACTGCAAATCAGGGCCCTAGGGTCTTGTCTGGACCCAATTCTGCTATGGCATTGAGGATTTGAGAGAGGATGCTTTAACCACAAGGCACCTTGGGATGAAATGGAATGGACTTGGATGCTTTATATTTTTGGTCTAGGGGCATTCTTTACATAGAATGACTCTTGGAAGTAGGATATAATAGCCCTAGAGATATCCAATTTGTCTTTGAGAGTGTGATCATTGACCTTGATGTAGGAAGTTGATTATCACCTATGCTTGCATTTGGCTATTTTGTGGAAGAATAGTTTTGGTCCCCTCTTGCGGGCATTTAATTCTACATCGCTGGTGCCAAGAAAATCTCTTCTGGTTTTCGAACCTCTTGGAGTTTTACCTTGGACAGTGTCCTAGTATTAGCCCCAGACACCGGTAAATCTGTAATCTCCCTTGTCATATGTAGCTTCTCAATTTCTAACAGGATTAAATTTTTTTGACTTGTAAGGAGCCAATAAGCTTATGTTTGATGGGTTGTAGTCTCCTGCACTCCATGAACCTAGTCCACTACAAACATTGAATGAGGATCATCAAAGTGGAATAAGGGAGATTGTGCATTTTTCCTCCAACCACTTGTTTTTCAAGTTTGAACCTGAATAGTCTAGGCCTCATAGGGTGTGTTTGGGTATCCAATAGTATAGGGACATGGTCCAAGGTGGATCTAGGGAGGGATCTGGACAACACCTCGTGGAAACGGTGTTCCCATCTGGATAAATTAGGAATTTGTCCAATTCGGACAGAGTCGGAGAGGATTGATTGTTAGATCAGGTATTAAGAGGCTCTGTTGAGAGAGTGATCTATGAGGGGAGTGCATATAAATGAAGTTTGAAAACTCAGCCATGCTGGCCACGATCATGCCTCCTTTGATTTCTTCAGAGGACCTATGAGTGATGTTGAAATCCTTGCTAAGGCACTAGGAGAGGTGAAAAGGGTAAGCTCGATGTAATTCAACTCATAACAGGCTTCTAAAGTTGGACGGATTTGTCATAGACAGCTGAAAAGTGCCAACAAAAGTTATCCGAGTAACATTCAAAAGCAATGGATATTGAGATAGATCCAATAAAGGTGTCAATTGGGGTTGACACCGAGGGGTTTGACAAGACCCAAATCCCACAATGAGGCACCTAGAAATATGAGATTAAGCTTAATGAGGAGATCAAGCGAAGGGGGGTCTTTTCCCCTAGAAATAT